AAAAAAAAAAAGTGCTCTATGACTGGACCAAGGAGCTCGAGGCCTCAAGGCTGCCAAGACCCTTACCTGGGTGATGGGTTTGTCCGGGAAGAAGGAGTAGGAGGTAGAAGAGCCCGTCAGGATGTCCAATACCAAAGGATTGTCAGGATCAGCCACCATCCTGCAGAAGGACAAGAGAGCAGCCCAACAGTGCCCCGGGAACTGAGCCAGACAGGCATGGGAAACCCTGGTCTCAGACTCCTGGCCTCAAGCATTCTCCTGCCTCCACCTCTTGGGATTTTAGACAAACACCACCATGCCCGGCTTGAATCTTTCCTTCTTAATAGCCAAACACTTAGCTCTCCTCATGCTGTAAAAATGGAGTTTGACTCTATTTAAATATAATAAGTTAATCTCACCTACATCCTCCAAAGGGACGGGATGCCCCCAAATAATTCTGGCTTGGTTTCCCAAACAAAGTGACCCCCTCCCCCAGATTTCTGCTGGCCTCTCCTGCTCACTCACCCAACACCTCGAAAGAGGATAGGATTTAGAGCTGATTTCCCAACGATGGTTGGGGCCTTCAGCAAGTTCTCGGCATCAGCCACGATGAGCGTATGCTGCAAGGAACAGAGGGAAGGATGGGTAGTCAGAAAAAGGTTCCCTGAGCCAGAGAGTGTCCTCTCACTCCCTCTTGGTTTCTGGGCTAAGCCCAGCTTTGCTGTACGTGCCTGAAACCTAGAAGGTGATTACCTGGCCAAGGTCTGAGATATCATAGTTGTGATGGTCAATGACAGCCGTTTTCTCCTCATCAAACTCGATCCCACACTCACTGCCCAGCTCTCGCAGAGGGTCACCTGCACAGATCCAAGAAATGGCTGGCTGAGTCCTTACGGGTGAGCCCTAGGCAAACAGTCCTGGCTTCCTCACAACACTCAGCTGGCCAGCTCCAGCACCCTGCAGCTGCATCAAGCTAGGTTCAGCCCCAAACAGACCCCTGGACAACAGCACAGCTGCCTCTAGGGGTCAGAATCAAAACTGATGAAACAAAAACCACCACTGGCCCTCTCCCTCCACAAATACACAACACACAATTACAGTCATGCACTGCATAAGGACACTTGGTCAATGACAGGCCACTTACATGACATTGGTTTCATAAGACTGTAATACCCTATTTTTACTGCCTCTTTCCTATGCTGTGATGTTTAGAGACACAAATACTCAGTACTGTGCTACAGTTGCCTACATGCCGCCCAGGTGTGTAGCCTGGGAGCAACAGGCTGTACCAAACAGCCTAGGTGTGGAGCAGGCTGCACCACCAGGCTGTGTGAGTGCACTCTAGGAGATGTGCGTGACAACAAAATCCCCTAAAGACACGTTTCTCAGAATGTGTCCCCATCATTATATGACACGTGACTGCACCTCAGTCAAACTTGACCTGGATGAACCTGGGCCTATGATGCTTCCCTACACCTTGGCATCGTCCCACCGAGAAACCTGCTCATTATTTGGAGTATGGTTTCAAAAATCTATCAATAATGAAAACACATGAAACCAGTCTGCCGGGTGTTGTTTCTTGTTGAAGCTGGCTGTGACCAGTGCATGAGGTTTAGGATGCTATTCTCTTCTTATTTCTGAGTATCTTTGAAAACTTCCAAAATAAAAAAATAAAACAAACACTTGTTTTGGGTCCAAGCCAATCTGCCTACCCCAGCTTGCCTTTTTGTATAGAAGAGCCTACACAAAATGAAACAAGCAGTGGGGGAAAAAAAAACAAAACAGGGTTCCCAGTCCTTGAAGACCCAGGTCTCACTGCTTCTAGTCATGAGAAAGCAAAGAAGGGGTCGAATGCCAAGTGGCCCTGCATTCTCACTGACACCAGCAGCCAGGGCAGCAGCTTCCATCTATGAAGCTCTCTAAGCACCCTGGAGAAATGGCAGAAAGCACCAGAAC